GTGTGTGTGTGTGTGTGTGTGTGTGTGTGTGTGTGTGTGTGTGTGTGTGTGTGTGTGTGTGTGTTTTCCTGAACAGACCCGGTCTAAAGGGTTAAAGGCAGGGGGAGAGGGTGTGTGTCACTCAGAGGAGCTCCTGGCAGGAATTCATGTTCTGGGAGTGTCACATTCCACATCCTGGGGTTCTGCTCTACCATAAATGGTAAGCTCTCACAGAACAGGATGATGTCAGGAGATCCGGCAGTGAGGCCAAACATGAAGACGGCCCGCTCTGCTGYGACTTTAACAAACTTTCACTGTTTCACAATCAACACTACGTTGTGTTACAGCAGGTTTTTATCATGTTGTCTGAATAAAATAAGAGTGCACTTTGGTTTAATTAATGTTTTAATGCAGCTGGGTTCTGTGGTTTCATTTTATATCACTGAAACCCAAGAGAAACTGTAATAAATGCAGAATATTTTATGTATTTAGTGTTAGGACCAAAGCAAAAAGGAGCAGGTGCAAAAATGCAGATAATTATGAAGGACCATGTTTACAAAATTTAAAGAGGAGTAAAATAAAAAATAAACAGCATGTAATTAATAAAAATGAGTGGTGAAATGCAAAGTAAAATAATCAGTGTAATTAGCCTAATTAGCAGATTTCTTGTCTTTAACCAATAAAAACGATGCTTCAAATCACGTGACCAGAAGTCGCGCTCATTGAGCTTACCTGCCAGAGCGGAGTGATTCATCTTACTACATACACGATCTTTGGCCGCTCAATTATCAGCGAGATAGCGTCGAACCGATTCGTCAGACTGGAACCTGGGTCCACCCCCGGCTGGCGAGCGAGACACCCGAACCTGGGCCCGGCCCGTCACTCTGAAACTGTTCGTGTCACGCGCGACAGGAGCTGAACCCGTCGTTAATTTAGCTCCGGTTATTAACAGACCTGCGTCCGGATCATCATCATCATCATGCCTCTCCGGGTTGAGATGGAGGGTCCCGGGCCCTGGGGGTTCCGGCTGGTCGGCGGCAAAGACTTCGACCAGCCTCTGGCCATTTCCCGAGTAAGTTTCTGTTAAGTTTATCTCACACACCTGGCTGCTAAAAGTTCACTAAAGTTTATGCTAATCTCGCGCGGGCGCGTTTTAAAGTAACCTGTAGCTTTAAGCTAACAGAGTTTAACGGGAAGCTCAAACTTCGGCTTGTTTCCCTTAATTATTCCGTTAATTAACGTGAACGGAAGTCGGTTTTTACTTGGGTTTAACTCAAAACTGTACATTTTTTAGACCAATTACTTAAACAAACCATAATTGTTTTATTTTTTAAAAAAAAAGACTTTAGCTTTGATACCTGAAACCCGCGATTAAAGATCGATTAAAGGGAAGAGGCGGCCATTCTGAGGGACTAAYTTATGTAAACACGGGTTGAGATAAAGTTACAAACTGTCTCTTTAAATATGGAGTCCTGCTCTGAAACTAAAAAAATAAAGAGTTAAATAAATGTTTAGTGTTCCCTTTTATTTGTATTTATGTTTAAGATGATAAATGAAACGTTTTGTCTCTTCAGAACAGAATAATCATCTTTTTTATTTATGCTTAGAAACCACAGACATTTTAGCCGATTTAAGCTGCAAAATATTAGTTATTTAAGCTGTTTTTTGTTGGTTTAATTGAAAAGTGTTTTATTTTCATATGTAAAAACAAATTAGACAGTATTTGCTGTGAAAACAATGTAAGTCTGAAACTAAGTTAAAAGCAGAACATCAGCTAGAAGTAGCACTAGCAGTAGAAAACAGTTAGCTGAAAGCTAAATTCTGCAAGACTGGCTAACAATTAAAAATACTCCAGACTAGTTAAAATGAGCAAAACACTACTTATTTGCAAATTGCCAACCAAAAGCTAAAAGTTGCTAAGGCTAGCTTAAATTTTAAAGAACTAGAACTCTAGATAAAATGACTAAATGACCAACTAAACGAAGCAAAACACCAGCTAAAGTATGCAAAATGCTAGCTAAAGGTATCTTAAGCTAGCTTAAGCCTCAAGGTAGCAGAGCACTAGATAGGAGCGAATCTTTAGCTAAAAGGAAGCGGCAAAAATGTGCAAAACGGCAGCTAAAATATACAGAATGCTAACTAAAAATAAATAGCTACGTGCTCAAATCTGAAAGTAGTAAAAAGGAGAAAATTATCTAAAAGAAACAGAACACAAGCGAAAAAGGAGCAAAACAGCTAAAAGAAGCAAAATGTCAGCTGAAAGATTAAAAAAGCAGAAAACCTCTGGAAAAGAGGGAAAACATTAGCTAACAGAAGCTAAAATGGTAACTAAATGTAGCAAATTCACCTGAAACTAAAAGCTACATTTAGTAAAAAGTAGCTAAAGTTAAAAATAGCTAAAGCTAGGTAAAACTGGGTCCTGATGAACTCCTAACATGATTCTGTTTGTTAAATGTTCGGCTGTTGATGACATCACTCTTAAAGTTGCGACGCCTCACAGCTGAATCTGACGCTCCACTTCCTGCCCCGCCCACCCACACTTCCTGTTTTCAGTTTCTGATCGTTGCCGCCCGGTCAGGAGCAGCTGATCCTGGCGTCAGTTTAAGTTGATCATTTGCTTTTCTGTCGTTTTATATCTTCAGTCGTGTTTCGGCTGTTGTAAACACGGGTTCGGCTGATGGTCCACTCCAACCGGAGGAGGAGGAGGAGTCTGGACCGGTTCTGTTCTTATCTCGACCTTGATGTCTGCTGTCTGAAAACGTCTGACAGTAAACATTAAACCGTTTGAGTGTTTACTGTCAACAAAGATGAGCTAAAGTCATGACGACAGCCGAAGTTTTTATTCAAATGACCCAGATAGAAATGTTTTATTTATTTTTTGACAAATGAAGAAAGTGAGGTAAGTCAGGTGGTCTTCAGCTGATCCAGTTTTGTTGACATTGAGCGCGTACCCGCGTGGCGGCGAGCACCTGTAATGCGTTCTACCTGGCAGGTGAACCCCGGCAGTAAAGCGGCGCAGGCCAACCTCTGCACCGGTGACATCATCCTGTCAATCAACGGAGACGCCACAGAGAGCATGACTCACCTGGAGGCCCAGAACAAGATCAAGAGCTGCGTGGAGGAGATGGTTCTGTCCGTGGACAGGTGAGTCTGAGCCGGTCAGGGGGCGGGGCCAAAACTCGCAGCTGGCGGCCATCTTTGTTTGATGGATGGGTCAGGTAATATTTTGCTAACAGACTTTTTCCTCAGGTCAGAATCTAAACTCTGGTCGCCGCTCTCCTCCGAGGAAGGAAAGTCTCATCCCTACAAGATGAACCTGGCCTCTGAGCCCCGGGTGAGTTCCAGAACCGAACCTGGACCGGACCTGTTGGCTTTTAGAATCTGTGGTTCTGGATGACGTCGGGTCGAGCTGCATCTCTCTCTCTCTCTCTCTCTCTCTGGGCCTGAAGGCTGGTGGTTAAAGCCCGGCTGCCAGCAGTGAAGTCATTGTTTACTTCCTAACAGGGCGTTTCCTAGGAGATGCTAGTTTTTATCACCCGCCTCACTTCCTGCTCCGTCTGTGGAACGTTCTGACCCGACTGGACCGGAGCCCCGGGCCCTTTGTGTTCTGTTGACTCACTAAAGTTTTATTTAAAAAAAAACACGTTTTAAACATCTGGAAGAAACTCGTCACCTTCCAGGTTCTGGTTTCAGCTTCAGGTTCTGGTTTTAGTTACAGGTTCTGGTTTTAGTTGCAGGTTCTGGTTTCAGCTTCAGGTTCTGGTTTCAGCTTCAGGTTCTGGTTTCAGCTTCAGGTTCTGGTTTCAGCTTCAGGTTCTGGTTTCAGCTTCAGGTTCTGGTTTCAGCTTCAGGTTCTGTTTTTAGCTTCAGGTTCTGTTTTCAGCTTCAGGTTCTGTTTTTAGCTTCAGGTTCTGGTTTTTGGGTTCAGGTTTCAGCTTAAGGTTCAGGTTTTAGCTTCAGGTTCTGGTTTCAGCTTCAGGTTCTGGTTTCAGCTTCAGGTTCTGGTTTTAGCTTCAGGTTCTGGTTTTAGCTTCAGGTTCTGGTTTTAGCTTCAGGTTCTGGTTTCAGCTTCAGGTTCTGGTTTCAGCTTCAGGTTCTGGTTTCAGCTTCAGGTTCTGGTTTCAGCTTCAGGTTCTGGTTTCAGCTTCAGGTTCTGGTTTT